CATCTATTCTGTTGCTCAAATAGGGCGCATCCAGATGAGTGCACACGTGTCTCTTCCAGCATCTCAAACCCCTTTGAGATGCTGCAAGAGGCATGCGTGGGAACCAAAAACATTGCCCATGCTGCAAATTTGCAGCACAGGGGCAAAATTAGATCCCTGGATATCCAGGGGTAAAAAAAAACACCCATTCCACAGAACAGCGGGAGAAGGCACGGTCCTAGACTGTACTTAGAGGCAACATGGGAGTCGGTCCTCCAGGAGAGATGTTCTGGTTTCTGGCCAGAGCATCTCTGTGGTGCTCCTGCTGCCCCGGGCACTGTCAAAAGTAAGTTAAGGATGTGGGATCCCTGTGCGCCACTCTTGGTCCTGCCACCATGGAACTGGCCCGGCCTGGCAGCGTGAGCACCCCCAGTGCTGGCGCGACCTGGCTCAGTGCGACACGTGGTCCCTGCAATTGGTGCCAGCCCTGGCTCTAAGCCACTGCGGCTGCTCTGGACCTTGGGGGGCTGGCAGGCTCTGAGCACTGCATTCCTGCTGCTGCTGCAGGGGGTAAGTTGTGGGCCCCATGGGAGAGGGGCTGTGTCCCTGCAGGGTGGCTCAGATCCTGCAGGGGAAAGGCGCTGTGACCCTCCAGGGATAAGCTGGGGCCCTGAAGGGGGGGCAGTCCCTGTGCTGTGTGGGGAGGCTGCATCCTGTGGGAGTCAGGGGACCCACCCTGCCTTACCAGCCCCCCCAAAAGGTCTCCCATGCCCACAGTCCACCTGCAATCACCCCACACCCACCTACTCACCAACCCACATCCCTCCATACACCCACGCACCTTACCCCACACCCCTTCCCTCCCTCTTCCTGCAAACCCCACATCACTCTATCACACACCCATCATGTGCAAAGAAAACCAAAAGCACACATCAACACATATAGATATTTACAATTTATTTTAACATTATGATAGAGACACTGGTAGGCTTCCAAATTGCTTTAACGTTGTAAATATATCAATAAAACATTGCCCAACTGATTGATTCCTCTCTCTCTCTATATATATATATGTATATATGTAGAGTGGTGTTTTGTTCTAATTGTGGAAGAACATGGATTTTGGGGTGTTTTTAAAAATGTATTTGGGATGCTGTTGCAGCAATCCAACTGGTACAAGGGGTAGTGTCCCCAGATACCATTTGGCTGGGCTCCAGAAGCTTCTGTCTATTTGTGTTATCCAAATGCCATGGCCCAAGGCCCACCCAACTAACTAGTGCCCCTACGGTGTGAAGCCAATGAATGAATAACACAACTAATTCCTTGGGACAACTAAAGCAAAAACAGGATAGGAGTGATGTGGGGGGTCAAAGGTTCAAAATATGAAAGTAATTTCTCCAGAAGGGGACAACAAGCAGAGCCCCCTGAGCCACACCCACCAGTTGTTAAAGGCATCCAAGGAGCACCACCCACTGGTGCTACACCCAAAATCATGCATGGATGAGTGAGAGAAAAGTGGCCCCACAGTCTCCAGGCACATTCCTGGCCAGAGCTTCTTTTCTGGTCAAGTACAGGGCCCACTTGGCCAGGGCCAGGAGGAGGTTGACAAGGAGGTCCTGGGACTTGGTGGAGCTGCAGATCAGGTGATCAAAAACAAAAACGTGGGGAGTGAAATTCAACCAGAACCTCAGGAGGAGGTTCTGGAGGTGGAGGGGCTGCAGCTTGGTGCACTTGAGGGTCATGTGTGCCAGGGCCTCCCTCTGCCCTCAGAAGGGGCAGGAGACCAGGGTGTCTGTGAAGCTTACCACATACATGCCCCTGGCAACAGCTCCAGGGAGGAGTCACTAGCTGAGGTCCCCAGTGGCTCATGGGATGAGGCTGGAGTACAGACTCAGCCACTGGGGTGCCGCAGCCACGCCCTCGCCAAGCAGATCCTGCCACTTGGTCCCCAGAAGCTCTTCAGTTCCTGCCACTTGGTCCCCAGAAGCTCCTGAGACTGAGTAGCCCTAAGCTGCTTGCTAGGGCAGGGTTTTATATTGCTGGGCCCAGCACAGGTGCTGGCCCCAGGCTCTAGCTCCCCCTGGCTGCAAATCTGGGAGGAGCCAGGCAGGGTTATTTTGCCCCAAGTGATACAATTTGCTTCACACCAAAGTGCATATCCGGGTATGTGTGCTGAGGCAAAATGCCCTGGCTCAAATTTGCACTGCTTCTATTTGAGCTGCTGTAACTATACGTGCCTGCATGTCTGGATGCACCCTTATTGTACGGCTGTCATTGGGAAGATGAAATATGTTTAAATAAACACAAATAGAAGTGGTCAAAAAGCAAGACACATCACATTAAAATATATTATTTGATCTTAGAAAATTAAATAATCTAGTATTAGGATCCTAGACAATTTTCCAAATCATATATTAGTAATGTAAGATGAATGGATATATTTATTTCATCAAATTCTTTCTCTTTCATTTTCAGTTGTCTAACAAAAAGCCTTTTTCTCCAAAGCACTGAGCTTGTTTGTTTTTATTGCACAGAGTTTAACCCCATCTTCAGAAGAGGAGGAAAGAGCTTTCAGGCACAAGGCTATTGATTTATATATATATATATATATATATAAAGTGGGTATAAAAATTAAATTTGACACTAGATGATCAAAATAAACAAAAAGTAGATGCCAGTACATTCTAAACAAATCTTTAATCTTTTCAATGATGAACAATATCAGAATGTTATTAATCTTAAATATATATACAGTTAGAAATATAAATGGCTATTATATATCTATATATCCTTGTGATACAGGGTTCAGGTAGAAGTGCGTCTCCCCACTGTAACTGAGAATGCTTTGCAGGAAGTGTTCTGAGTTACAATGATGTCCTGGAATAAACAGACCCCCTGTTGGTTCCAGGGGAGAGAAAAATCTAGCTCCTGGCTGTGAGCCTGCAGCTGGTTTCCCATGGCAATGGCCCCTCCTCTCTCCCAGCCTGTCCCTTTTCCGAATGGGAGGGGGAAAGGGAGCAGACTGAACTCATTCTAGAGGTTCTCTTCCCAGCTCTGGAGGGGCTGAAAAACACCCAAAATGAACCCCCTCCACTCTCTTTCTCCCCTCCCATTCTGAAAACAGCTTGAAGTTGGCATTCAGTGCAGACAGAAGTTACAGAAGATGCTCTGTTTTGAAATGTCTTAATCTGACCTCTCATGTAATGATGAGTCAGATTTTCACCCTATCAGCCATTTTTGAAGGTGCAGCCATGCACTTGTATTTGGTCTCAGCTATAAACTGCTTTCTGTGGCCAGATTGTGTTAAATTGTCACTTCTGTCTGTGCCCACAGAGAAGAGAACAGCATCCATTTACATGGCATTTTTTTACCATGTCAGATTCTGCAGTTTTCTTTTCGCTTAGCCATAAATACTAATTTGATTTTTCCTAATTTATAAGCAGACTTTTTCCTTTAATGACCTGTTTAATATTTGATCTAACTCTTCAATTTATTTTTAAAGAAAAGTGTCAGTGGAAAAATACTGTGAAAATATCCATCTTTGTAACAAAGTTATTAATTATTAGAGATTGGGTTAACTGGTTAAAATGGAATAAGAATCTTACTGGCCATTCACTTAGAACTCAAATTAAACTTTTTTGACAAGTATGTGATCTTTTAAGGAAAATATCTAGGAGCCAAACCTCCAGCAACCAACATGTCTTTTCTTTAGAAGCTAGTCCTTCCCTAGAAACGATCATGGTTCTTTGCTCTTGGTCCCTGTGGAGGTGTGGAACCATTTCTCAGAGACAGAACTGGATAGACTTCTGTAATTTATTATTCTGCAGCAAAAGCCAGTGACTCCTATCTCTACTGGCATGCTGCACTTAAAAATGTAAACAGGAATCCTAGAGGGGAGAGCAGGATGCCTATAGGTGTTCTTTGTTCCTAACATATACAGATAGCTTATGTAAAGAGAACTAAATAAAGACAAAATAGCTTATTACTTGTGACTATTAATTTAGAACTTATTGAAAATGCATGGATGAATTCACAGCAAACTTTAGGTTTTTGCTGAAAAATCAACGTTTTGCTAGAAATTAAAATGGTTTTATTTATTGGCTGATTGTATTTTTCTCCACTGAAACTTACATATTTATCACAGCTTTTCAATAAAAAATGAAAACTTATCTGAAGACAGAATTACTTATTTTAAAATGTTTTGTCAAAACCTGACTATTCCTGAACAATGGCTTTAATAGTAATCTTTCAGTCAAACCCATTAGTGCTTTGTATACATTTCAGAGTTTATAAATGCAAGAAATACTCTAGGACCAACATTTTCAGAAATATTCATTTATTCTGTTGCCTTGGGGTATGGGTACTAATAACAAATACCTGAATACCCCAAAACCGGGTTGGCCTCAAAAACTAATGAGAGGTCTCTGAAAGAGAATGCAAAGTTGAAAGTGATTAAAGGTGAGTGTTAAGTTCAGAAACAGCTGGAAACTATGGGTTCTCAAAAGCTTTAATAATGGCATACAGAATAACTCATTCCGGTTATTCAAATCCTGAAACAAATAAAAATGAATGGACACTTCTGAAAATTTGTCTACTGTTTATGCGTGTGTGTGCGTGTGTGTGTGTTCAAAATTGTGCTTGTTTATTTCTTTAGTTGTTTTAAATTTCTGGGCATTAAAAAGGTCCCTTCTATGGGCTTTTGATGGTATGCTCACGCTCGTAAGCTAGTTCTAAGAATTTTGGATTTTGGATTTCTTAAGCCTCTTCCATGGATAAATGGAAGTCATCAGTTTTTAGTGCAGTTAATCCTGATTTTGGCATAAACAGTAACATTTCTTTAAAGTAAAAAATACATATTGAACCTGCAGAATGTCCTCTGATAATAAGGTATGGGTGGATGCATTAGTAAATTAATTGACTAAATCATTTATCCTAAAAATGTCAAGTTTTAGTTATACATTTAATTGTACTTTTCCTTTCCAATATAATTGTACTCTATTTTATTTATGTATTTATTTTAGGCACAGAAGGGGCAGTGTTTGGGCACTCTGTGGAGACACCCCATATCAGAGCAGAACCTTCCCAAGACCTCAAGTAGGTGTTTATTCAGAGTTGTTTTAAATTTATTTTTCCTGAAATCAACTAAGAAGTTTTGATTTTTCTTTTTTATTGATAATCTATGCAATTTACTCTAATGACCCTTTCCTGATATATTTAAAACACTAATCAATTTTTATTAGAACTAAATCTGTCACAGTTGGACACAAATATTGTTATAATGAAGCAATGTAAAGCTTCTCCCTTTTATAAGACATCTTTCTCCAGTACTGAACAAATGTTATTCTTTGAAAGTTCAGGTTTCACGCACCTTCCTTACATTTTCAAGCTGTCAGATTTTTTATGAAGTCCTATTTCATACAATGCTGTCTATTAGCATGAAGGTCATTTCTTGTTTGTTTATGAAATATTCTAGGAGATATAAGTCAAAATGTCAACAAAAAGTAAGAAGTATACCATTTGTCCTTCAAACAGAATTTCTGCATTGTTTTTAAAGGCTTTTCCCTTCTTCAAAAATTTATTTTCAAGCTAAGTGAGTCTACCTCTTTAAAAGTACTCAAAGACATCTTGAGGTTGTTGTAAATTTACACAAACACATAGGCATAAGTAAATAGTAAAAGGTCAAAAACTAAAGGTAAAGCAACTAAGGGACCCAGAAAAAGACAATCTAGAGTGACTTAAAATGGAAGCCTTCTCATAAAGTTTAAATGCAATTGCACTGCTGACATTAATCAGTAGTTCACACTTCGTGTCAGAGAGAGGGGATTTATATGAGAAATAATGGCTGCATACTGAAGGGGCTTTCTGAACTTTCTATGCTGTACTTATATCAGAGAGTTTGCTTCAGCTCTACCTTGCCTCCTGAAAATTATAAACCTTCATAATTGCCCTACCTATCAGTTTTCATAGTGACTTATTGTACTCTAATGAGGATCCTTTCTTCATATTTTAAAGGTCCTGGGATCCATCAACAAGCACCAATCTCATTGAGGCCCACAGGTTTGCCCATGTGTAATAGATTGCAAGAATAGGTCCATTTCCTCCCTCTTTCTCAGAAAAAAATGAGAGGTCTAGTGAAATTTGTCCACTTAGACATAATATTTTGAACTTAATATAGTGTTGAATTGATGTTGTAACCATGGTGGTTCAGAAAATATATGGCAAGAATTTGTGTAGCTGATATCTTTTATTGGACCAACCGCATGTTTGGGATAGACTTAGGCAAGCCTTTGAGTATCACGCCACTCTAACTCGATTCCAGCCATACAGTTGGTCTAATAAAAGCTATCACCCATTTAATGTAATACTTTTGCAGATTCCAAATGGGTCCATTTTTATATTCCTCTGCTGTCATAACTTTTCATAAGACATGTTGTTACTATCTCCAAAAGTAACAAGATGGTAGGGTTAATAATTGCACAGAGGGCACCTGAGGTTAAGGAGAAAAAACAAGAAAAGGCTGTTGTTTCAAAAGTCAGAAGCAGCAACAACTGTTCATGCAAGAAAAGGTGAATTTATACATTATACTTAAACCATACTAAATTTATGAAATATTAAGCTGTGTTAAAGTTAGTGTGCTATAAGTAGGGATCTACCTAAATCACACTGGAAGTGTGCTGCCCAGTGACTCTTTTAATCTTGCTCTTTTCACCACATCCACCTCCCCCCTTCCCTGCTGATTAGTGGAGGGGCTCAGGCCACCCCATTGCTCTCCACTCGCTCCTGATGGGCCAGGAGGCAAAAAACATGGTTTTAAATATGCCACAGTTGTTACCTCCCAGCTGATCAGCAGCAAGCAGCAGGGCTACTGGGGCTAATCTACTAATCAGTGTAGAGGGACAGGTGTGCATTAAAAAAAACAATATTAAGGACCTTCTGTGCAGTGAACTTTCAACATGATTAGTGTAGATCCCTAGGTATGAGCAGTCGCAAATTAAGGGATAATACCATGGATCACCTGCACAGCTCTGACTTGCCACTAGAGGGATGGCAGGCAGAGAAGTGGCTAGAAGCTGGGGCAGCTGGGCTCTATCCTTAGTTGGAGAGGGGAGTTTGGGAGAAGTGAACCTTAGTATTCTGTAGAACTGCACATTACTTGCTTTATCTCTGTGGACAAGACTGAAGTACCCCAACACAAGCCAGGCCAAGAGTTAACCTCTCCTGAAGTGATATAGCTTTGAGACACTTAGCCCACATCCAGATGAGCGCAGATGTTTGTTTCTCTGGGAACAAGTAGTAGGCACACCTGGTGGCACTGCTACTCGTCCCTGGGGAACAGCCATGCCACACACGCTCTGGCATGTGGCAGGTTACCCTGAGTGAGGTAGGAAAGGCTGAGACTAGCAACTGTGCTGGTCCTAGCAGCCTTGCCTGGGGTTCTGGGGGTCTGCCAGGAATGTATCCACAGTAGGAAGCCTGAGTGGCAGCCAAAGCATGTCTCAGGCTGGTTTTGGTCAGCATGAGCTATTGCTGCATGCGCTCCCATGTTTTTTTTTGTCATAGGTTTTTTTGACCCTGGGATCTCCCAGTCTGTGGTACTACATACCCACATCCACACTCGTCTGGACATGGCCTTAGAGGGCAGTTAGCATGAGTTACTTGAGCTGTTTCACCGATAGGGCAGTGCCAACTGCTGCACTGCCGGAGGAGGTGGCAAAATCAGATACCAACTGCAGTGGCAGGTTTTTGTTGTTGTTATCCACCCCGCCACACCTTTTCCCACAAAGAAAATGCCCATAGTTGCTTCTTTTGTTGTCTCACCCTTTAAATTTATGATACTGGCTATGATCTTAAGAGTTATTTCAAATTAAGCTAAAATTTCCCTATTGCCGTGTGTATGTCCCAGGGTATGCTTATTTCTTGTCCTTTATTTGCCACCGCATGCTATTTCAGACTGGTTTTTATTGATCCTAATCCTTTTTTTTAATATCTCTTTTTCCCGTGCTTCTCCCTTTTATTGAATATCGCTAAACCTACCTTTAGGTAATGTCTTGTCACATGGACTACAATTACTGGGATTTTGCCAACAGTCCTCAGCTAGCCTTCCTGCGTTTGGGTTCCTGCATTTGACAAGACTCCATGAAACTAAAACAAAATTTGCCACAAATTTTCAATGAAGTAACATAACCTAGCAATAATTTTTTTTTCCATTTATTAAATATGTTCCGTAATATATTAGTTACCCTAAAAGTTCACTGTTGTCTATTTAATTCAGCTTTAAATGTACTCATTTTTAAAATATCTCCCTTCATTTAAGCCTTTATAGAATCATAACAATAATAATATGGGCAGAGATTTCTCAGGTTTGGTATCAGTCAATAATGGACCTTTCAAAATATTTTGTACAAAATCTTTGCTGTTTTGATTTAAATAACTTTAAATAATTGTGCTTTTGATTGGTGTTTTCAAACAGCAGAAGGGAAATTAGAACAGTTTCTTAGGCTTCCTTGAATATCCTTATCATCATGCAAAACTTTTTTAGCTTAATTAATTCAAATGGCCTTTTTTTAAAACTGCGTTTGTATGTGACTTGTACATGAGGGGGAAGTGCAGGTTTGCTTAGTTTAAAGCTACTGTTAAAATAAGGGAGTTACTGTAAAAATGATTCATTGTTTCCCAATCCTTCCCAACCAAACCTATTACCTGATGTCCCCTAGTTTTCCTTTGTCAGCGTCACAGCGGCCTCAGAAGGCCTATTAGGTTAATTTGTAATTCGTTTAGAACCCACAGTTTCACTTGTGGATATTGTGTGGATTTGCACCCCAAAATACAGTTCCTTTGATGGGACTCAGGAAATGTGAAATTGATAGTTAGTATGAAATGTTAGAAAGTCTTCTGGCCATGCCAGCTGAATAATAGGATCATCATTAAAGATGGACATTTTCCAATGGATACATTTGATTGTGCAATCTGAACCTATATTACAAACAAATATAAAAGATACATAAAAAATGCTGAGGACAAGGATGAAAGACCATTTTTTTTTTTTTACTTTAGATAGATAGAATTGGTATCAAAGAGTTTTTTACAGTCAAACTAATCCTTTCAAATTTGGATTTTTTTAAAGTTAATAATATGTTATACTGTATTCCATGGGAGGAGGGGGGGAATTGGACAAAATACTAAATCCTGACCTTGTATACACAGTGGAATCACCAATTAAAAAAAAAAAATAAGGCCAAATTCTGAACATCTTGATTACAAGAGATGAAGATGAATAACAATTTTTTTTCTGTGGACCCAGGTTTCAACAGAAAGTTCAAAAAATTTCAACAGTTGGATTTTTGGTATAGGTGAAAAAATCAGATCTTGATCACAGTAAATAATGCCATTCCCTCCAGCATCTGGGAAAGTTTGATTTAAACATTCCCCCCTGCACCCCTCCCCCCCAGTATTTGTTATGAAAATAAAAAATTAAAAAACACTGTAAACAAAAAACACATACACAACTTGGTATGACTTTTTTTTTCTCTGTCTTTTTTCTCTCTGTCTTTCTAACTCTTTTTTTTTTTTTTGCTGTCATTTTCAAATCTAACCAGCCAGCCCTTCCTAGTATAAAATGCTTTCCTACAATCCTTTGGGAAAGCTGGTAAACCCCTTCAGATCAAATTAAAAAAAGAATTCAATCTAACTTTCATTAGCTGGAGCAAGCAGAAAACAAGAATTATGCCTTAGAATTGGTAAAATGAATTACATTTTAATAATTTAATCTTCTGATTTATCTTGCTACCTTTTCTGATAAACCTGCAGTTAAGAAACTAAATTGCCAAAATGATAGGCCACAAAATATTGGTTTTAAAGATAATGCGTTTCAAACATGGTATGTTAATCGGTAATATCTATGCACATAAAAGGCAGACAGTGGTTATATACTGATTGCTATGCCCTGAATCACCTCCTTAATAAGGGGGTAAATTAGTTTGTTGTTGTGTTCTACCTCTGGGAAGAACTAGAAGATCAAATTTAATAGCTTTTTTCAGTGTCAAGCTTAGTATGCCATTTACTATCAGATAATCCTGGAAAAAATACTAGGCATA